GAAGTAATTTATATTAAATTTCCTAAGTTGTTTTGCGATTATCGTTTTAACAATTCACATTTAATGCACGTCTCCAGATGAGTAAAAATATTTCGATAAAATCAAACCCGAGTAAAATGTACTAAGATTTTAGGAAAAATATACAGATTCAAAATTCTAGTAATAATTAACATGTTAAGTGCAATTAATGAACGATTTTTCTGTATTTATAATTATATTTCTGCTGCGTTACTTACGTATGGTATTTTACTTGGGTTGAAGGTGTCATTGATAATGTGTAAATTAAACTGTTTTAGTAACTTCACAATATTATACTGTTAAATACATTTTCAAATTTTCATGAAAATTAGCATGAATCTGGAGGCGTGCTGGTTTAAAAAACATGTAGTTTAAAAAACTGCACATTGACATATGCTGGTAAGGAATAATAGAATCTACCATTGGGATAGATAGAGGATAGGGAAATCCCAACCCGTGGGTGATCGGTTCCTCGGGAACGAGCCTTGGCGAGTTCCCGATGGAACCGATTGCCCGAGGTTTGGGATTTTCCTATCCTTTACCTAACACAATGATTGATTATTTTTCTCACTCACCTGGACTTAATAAATATCAGTGAAACTAGATCTACTTGCTACGCCCTAGTTTTGAAAAGCGGGGCGGGGCTTAGGCGCATGACGTACGTCCGCAAAAAATTCTACTGACCAAGTTTATGTGTGAAAAATTTAATGAAAATGAATTCATATGAGATCCCTCATCAAATATAAGGTTATCATGATAAAACACATCAATATTAAAGTCGGAAAGTGTCATAATATAAGTGTTTATTAGGAATTCAGTCCATACTTAAATGATTGCCAAAAAGCGTTTACCGTTTGCAAAGATTTTTCTACTTTTTCGGTTATTTTGGCCGAATATTCAATTAAAATATATCAAAATGAGATTGTCATCAAGAAGCATCGTTATCATTACAGAAAACATGAATGTTCTTCAGGCAAAGTGTCATTATATCCGATTTTACGAAGAATTTTGCGATATTTTAAAGTGTGCTATTTTAAGTAACAGATCGTTATTGACAAGGGCGGACCTAGGTAGAATAGGACTGATTGCAGTGTGAGTGTTTATATCAATCTATTTTGATTCCGTGGACAATTTAATAGATTAGCTTACATATTTTTGATACATTTTGACTTTTAGACATTTCATTTTTGTTTAAATAGGAGTGAATCGCGTATGTGTAGGAGTACGTTTTTATAAGTGCTGCACGTTAAGTGTGAGATAAGCCCATGTGAGATAAGATTTTCTTTAGTAACATTTACGGATTTTTCTATCTGGTTAGTGAAAATTATGCCTTGTTTAATTTATTTTAGTTATATATTTAACGTGTGGGTATGAAATTAGAAAAAAAAACTTTTTTGTTTTACTGTAACGGTACAGAACGGTTAATTCAGCCTTATGATGTTAGATTTGTCTATTTTATATTTAAAAAAATTAAGAAATCAATAAAAGTCGTTCGCAGCATTGAGTTAATAAATTTTGTAGTCGTTTAAAAATTAACCTGCAAGTTATCGCACTATCCTTATTACAGTACATTTTATGTTAGAACTATCCTTTACATTTAGTTATATAAAATGGCAGAAACTATCCCTTACATTTCATTTTAGAGCTATCCTTAAAAGTTTATTTTTTATTATAGTATGAACTGTCCTTTACATTTAATTATAGAATGGTTAGAACTATCCTTCACATTTCATTCTAGAATAGCTAAGTGTTTGCAAAAAAGGCCTTGATTCCATTGAACTGGATAGCATAGAGAGTGAAAAAGTTACAAATGATGAGTGTCCATGTGATTAAAAATAAAATCAATCAGATATTACATACATTGACATGTAATCTGTTTTCCCTCATAAAACAGTGGGATATTGATCCTTAGTGAAGGGTTAATTATAGCTAGTTAACTAGACCATATCGATATCATACACAAAGACAACTGGCACTGTTTGGTGTATTGTAAGCTAACGAGTTGTATATTGTGAAATGTGATATATTCCAGCACAGTGGGGGTGTCCAGTATAGGACATGTATACATAACAATGGAAGGTAGCATCTATAAGTATATATATCCACTTAGCCAATGCATTGACTTGAAAAGAAATGATTTAATATTATATTTCAAGCAAGATAAGATTTATAAAATAGATTATTAACATAAACTGTTCAAACTAGTTTATACAGCATTATATACTTACCATTATACATAGTAAGCTAAGATAATTATCAAGCTTAGTATTCACCTTTTATTTAAAGTTAATTTTATGTTTTATTTTGCTTTTGTAAAAAATAAAATAAAAATATGTAGAACTTGAATATGCAGACTATATACTTGTGATACTGTTGTTTATTTGTTTTCCCATTAATGACAAAACTACTCCTTGGCAGGGTCACCCTAACTGCTTCCTTGGTGTCATTTATAACCAGTATTTAAAACAGTGTGGTCTGTGGAAGTTGAATTGAGCTATGATAAGTTTGATTCCAGGCCGTAAATTCAATTGAAGATGAAGTAATAATATATAAGAGGGGAGCAGTGGCCTAGTGGGTAAGCAGGCAATGCGAAAGTCAAAAAAAAATTCCAGCCACAAGGACTGGGATCCTTAGATTTATTTCCGGCTATGATGATTTTTTTCCCATCCCGGACTCTGAAAGGTATTTTTTGTAGGGCTGGGGGAGGGATATTGCCATAATTATAAACAAAAATATTTAGCAAATATGAATTATCAGACTCGACTATAAGATACTATGAAAAAATATGAGCCGTGTCACGACAAAACTAACATAATGGGTTTGCATCCACGCAGTCTGATCAGTATTCATGCTGTTCGCTTACCAACTCTTTTATAAGTAGAGTAACTTTGAAGTTTTGCATATTAATGATTTTTTACATGCCAAAAATTGTTTCAAACTGGCTGAAATTTTTCGGACATGAGGACAGACTGTATCAAAATTTATCTCGGCCCTCCTGATTTTTAGCTTGCGAGGTCCGAGGACCGACAGACTTTCGCATGGACTGGGTTAAGGTGTCTGCCTCTCAACCCTTGGATAATGGATTCGAGCCCTTATCCAAAAAATGGGTCATGTTTCTTCATATGACACTAGTACTGGTTAGATTCAAAAGTGATTAATGTAAGTTGCAAGAACTTGTTTGGTAATCAAGCTTAGATAAATATTAAATGTTTACACAAAGTAATATTTATAGTTTTGATTTGGTAAAGAAAAACTCAGGCTTTCTCAAAAAATGTTGAAAATGTTTGAAAATGTAAATGATGACACTAAACCAAAAGCAAAATATATAAATAAATTATGCATTAACTTGAAGTCATAAACACTGGAAGACTGTCCACCATGAAAAATGGCTAGTTGCCACTCAACTCCTTTGATTTCTTGCTATTTTTGGTCCAAACAGTCTATACCAGCAGTATTTGATAGTTTTATTGCAATTAATTTAGATATGAAATGAACAACTGCAATCTAAAAATAAAAACCTACTTGATTTTTTCTTTTTTATCAAGCAGAACTTCTGAAGAGTGCCTTCTTTTTTGTTGAATTTCTAACCGCTTCCCGGCGGTGACTGAAAAAATGGTGGGCACGGCGTCTGTCTTGAGAGTTCTCCTGAATGTTGCTTTAAAACCAATTGTCTCTAAAAATGATGCACTATGTGTAAATTGATCCTCTTCAAAGTGTAGCGAACACAACCGACTGTTCTTATTTGGTGAATACACTTTGTATTTACTAGCAGAGTTTGCACGACCGATCTTGTTGCACCAAACTTTTCGAAGTTTCTTGTCTTTCGGAAATCGAAAAAAAATCACCTTTTCTCGACCTGAGAGAGAATTACAGCCAAAGGCAGCACACAAAACCATAACTAATCCACATGTAAATATCAAACAACATGAAAATACACAATAAACAAAAATCCGAAGAATGTCATGCCCGAAAAACAAAATTAACTGTCGCCTCGCTAATCATGTATACATGTAATGGCGGACTGACATTTCACCAATGACGTCACAGCGTTGTTTAAACAAGGGAGGTAAGCCACTTAACGAAAAAATAAAAAGACGAATAAAAGTCATAAAAACTACCGTTTTCCGGCTCAATATAAAAATCAGACAATATTTAACTGATAATATTACCAATTTCTTGTGGAAATAACGTTTAAGCGATAAATTCTGGTTTTTCTTTAAATTTGACCTTTAATGAAAATTCTACTTCTATTCAGTCCTCTGTTACTTTACAGGAAGTCATACTGATATGGACATATAACATATTAAAAATTCATTAAATATTAAAATTCAGACATTAAATCTCGTAACGTTTATGAACTATTTGTTTCAATATTATTAGATATAAAATAAAATGTTCAAACAAATTGTATGAATTGTGCAAACAGGTGTTCGCAACGGATTGCAAAATGGTTTTATATATTGCATACGTCTAAAACACGTTTCAACTTGCACAATGAGGTTAAATTGCTAAAAATAACGGCGATAAAAATAATGTACGTACACGTATGTAATACATAAAACATAAACATTATAGTACACCTATATTTGAACGTGGAGGACAAAATTTCGAAATGACACAATTGACCAATAAAAAAGTAAAGAAATGTGATTGCAGTTTTTTGTTTGTAACTTAATAAATCGTAATTGTTATTGAAAATCAAGCTTATATGACATTCTGGACTTACCATTATCGAATCTAAAAATAGACATAATCTAAATATTCATGACAGTGTAGTAGCAGACGGTATTCAGCAAGCATTTGCAGTACAATACAATTTTAAAACGTATGTACATGTAATATATCTATAAACTAATTTTATAATTAATTATTTTGTAACGTACCTTATTGTAAACTTTATTTTGCAAAAAGAAAAAAATGTAAAACTGAATTTATACCGTAGAAACTTAGTCTCCGTCATACAAATAATTAACATGTATTCTATGTTCAATAAATTTAGCAAACTTAATTGTAATATGTTTACAAGTATTGCTTCAATAAAAAGCTTTAGCAAAAAGATTAAACACACGTGATTTTTAGTCAAAATATTCATAACCTAAATGGTGTGTCATCAAAGATATAAATAGTTTGTCCTAAAAAATGGTGAAACTTGGTGAGTATAAATACACTAAAGACACATAATGATAAACATTCGTTTATATGCAACAAGTGTGATTATATGCTTAAGGTAAATGCTATTAAATTTATTTCAACATGTTTTGACATAGACCAATATGATTTTTATAAAAAAAAATGATAATACCATAAATTCATACTTTTCAATATAGATAAAGTTATATTTAAATCTGATAATTTTTATTCGATGCTTTCGAATAAATAGTTGAAATTTGTAGGTGTCTTAGTATAGATTATTGTTTTAAGCCAGCATTTTATTAATCTGACTTGAGCGAAGCAATTAAATATAAATGTAGAGGTTAAAAAGTTGTGCGATTTTTAACGGGATAATATTTAACCTCTTATGAATAAGTGTTATCACAGTGAACAGTAGCGTACCTATTAACCAGTGTGTGTGTAGTTAATATTTAGTTGGTGATATTATTGATAATCATGTGTACATTTAATTCATATTTCCTTGTTATAAAATTCTCAATCACTACAAACATGTGATATAACAAATGGCAGAACAAACAACATTTTTTTTTATATCAGAATTTATTTTAATCTTATAAGTACTGAAAATTGTCGTTATCAGGTGACCTTGTACGTAACCGTCACATTCATACCATGTGTATATTATAATAATTAAATTGTATAACTATGATGTAATTTGTGTATTTGAATATCGATAAATTTTGTCAAATAGTATAAAGGATAACCAGTATTACACTCTTATAGAAGTACAGATAGACGAACAATGACCTTTGTTACATATCGGTTACCCATCTGTATGATTTTAGAAATATAATCACTTCAAAATATATGTGTTAATGTTGTCTTAATTGTTTCAGACAGTCAACATGACTATGATGAACGAAGATGAAGTTCCTAACAGCACAAATAGTGACGCAAACATACATGTTTTTCCACAAAATAGGCTTTTACCAGACGTTGTTCACAGTACAATGAACACCATGGACGGTTTGAATCAGGTTAATTACTTCTCTGATCACGTTAGATGCGTTATGACAGAAGCCACTGCTTACAGTACAGAGCAATATCCTGGCACTGCATCAGTGTTTTCAGGAGTAAATAAAATGGTGAATGATATGGGGAGCCAAAGAAATATCAACAATTTATGTGAACAACTTGATTCTATAGAAATGATTGATGATTGTCCATTAGAACGTTTCAACGAACCACAATCATTTGGAGGAAATCATGGAAAACATATAGCAGCACACATTGACGCGTCTAGAATATATTTAAGGGATCAAGATGGTGATACTCTCTTACATACAGCCATTATATTACATGAGGTAGCATTAGCCATGATGTTTATTAGTAAAGCACCATCAAACACCTGGCTGTCTTTTACAAATGTTTTATTTCAAACACCTCTACACCTTTCCGTATTAACTAATCAGCCAGAAGTCACTAGAAGATTAATTGTTGCTGGTGCTGAAGTAGATAAACGCGATAAGGACGGAAATACAGCTTTGCACATTGCCTGTCGCCAAGGACAATACAAAAATGTGCAAAATCTTCTTGAGCCTGTCAGATATCATGAAACCAAACAGAATTCTTATGAAATACCGTACCAAACCATTCCACAGGATATATCCATTAAGAACTATGAGGGAATAACATGCCTACATTTAGCTGCATCACACGGACATTTAGATATTGTTAGTATGTTACTGGACAAAGACATAGACGTTAACCTCAAAGAAGGAAAAACAGGTCGAACAATACTACACAATGCTTGCCTTACTGGTGATTTAAATCTAGTCAAACAACTGTTAAGGCATCGTTCCTGTAATATAAATGCAAGAGCCTTTGATGAGAGCACACCATTTGACCTTGCACGTATTCGAGGTCATGAAGACACTTGCCTGGTCCTTGCTGCTGCAGGGGCCGGGTATGGGGAAGATTTAACAGAATCTGATTAAACGATATAATAAGAGACTGCAAGTCCTTTTACATTCACACTTTCTGATTTTGTCGCGCTGTTCTGTTTCAGGGAAATATTTTTATTTAATATCTGACATTTATCTCAACAGGGAAGGATTTAGACAACAACGTTTATACTTATAGTTATGATTCTACAAACAGTAAAACTGAAATTGGAATATATTTATATAAATCCTAGTCGTGTTCTCATTATATGTTTATAATGTTCGTGATACTTTAAATACCTCATAGTTATAAATATAAATATTTTATATTGATTATCCACAGAAAACTGCTCAATTAACTTTTACATGTCACGAGTTGAAAGTATTCTACCGTTATTAATTTTAAATGTATCTACATTGTGAGTATATACAGCATACATTTCATAAAGTTTTGTCATTATTGCCAACTTACTTAACTATAATTATTATTCTTTTCTTGGAAACTCCATATATTGTTATGTTTATAATAGTCTTTGTTAATCTTGTTTAGTGTTTTATTATTTTGCACCATTTGATTTGCCTAAGATATATTTTTGTTATAGGGTATTATGTTGTGACAACAAACGTTCTATAAATGGTTTGTATTGATGCATTTTTTATTATAAGATATGTTTTCATTTGAATGATTGAACCATTATCAAGTGTTACTTTTTTGTATATACATTGTATGTATTTTAGGAATTTTCTTTTGAACCTTTTAGTTTGGCGATATTCATTTAATAAAATTCACTCTAGTCCTTTATCCTATCTTACTCAAGTTTATTATATAATATTTCTTATATTTAAGCAACAAAGTATTTAAAAACTTGCAAATTATATCCCATAAAATACTTCTAACACCATGGTAATATGACGTTACTAATACAAACATATTTTTTCTATGATTTATTGCCATGAACAATATTTGAGATAAAAAAAAATAAGATTTTTTTTTGGTAAAAGTTATTGATATGTAATTAATTACTTACTCGTTTCCTAGTGCCATTATGTGTTCATCAAATATTTTTATTATATAAATGTTTGATGTACTTAGAAGTTTGTACATTTTCTTAAGTTGTGGGTCTTGTTACTTAAAATATTTACTATGTGACGATTTTATTTCTTTACGTTCATTTTTAAATCCGAAGCCATCTTGTTTTTGTTTTTTATCTTTAATACATCAATATATTGTTACTGATGATGATTGTTGTTTGTTAAAAATTCATCAGCTCATTTTATACAATAAATTTATAAAACAACGATTGCTGTTTTTATTTGCGAGATAAGATATATCTGTAGTTCAATGTCTGATCATCCCTAGAGCGATACTAAAATTCTTAAAATAAAACATTCTCGGAATTAATGAGAAGGAAGATTTGGTATAAAATTGTATAGTATACGCCTTTAAAATGTTCAGTTGTATGATGGTTCATTAGCTAGAGCATTTCTCAGTGTTCTACATTTTAAGTATTGCAACCATATGCCCTTCGAAAATGGACTTAATTTATGTTTGAAAAGAAAACAAATAAATCTAGATAATTCAGAAATATTTATAAATTTATAAATTGCAACATATACTATTCATTTGTTCTCCGGTTTCTATAAATTGTGTTAAATATTCTGTAATATTAAAAATGACTTTCTTCAATTTGTTTCCAAACAATACCATAACATGCCAATACATTATTCAAAGATATAACGATGATGACTTTAACGTACTGAAGATAAATGATTCATACACATTTATTTCTACTCGACCAATTACATTAGTTTGTTCAATATGAATAAGTTTATCCATTGTTGTTTAAGTGTTATAATTACAACGGCGAAATTCAAATCCTACAAAATAATTAAACACTTTACAACATAAATAAATACAAGTACTGGTATTACTTTTTTATATTTTATTATATTCTTATCGATGAAAACAATATCACATTCACATTGTGTCTTACTCGTATAAAAAAATAATTATATTATTTCAGATTAGATTTTTCTAACGATATAATCGACTAATGCATGTAAAACACAATTTTAAGCAGGTATTATACATGGGGAAGAATTCATAGTAAGATAACTTTCGAGACAACATTTCGATTAAATAACCCGAAAAAGTGATAAAGTGATTCAATCCGTAAAGCTTAGTGTTCGATAGAAATTTAACCGAAAATCAAATCTGGTTGGGTACTTTATCTACATTTGTTTCTTTTACTTCACTTTTTTCACAATTCTAACGATTGCAGGGAAGATTATTCCAGCTAACGATTTAAAAATAAAAATAATTTATAATTACGAAATATTTAATCTTTTGTTTGAACTAAGGTTTAAAAATGGACAAAGGAACTCGTTTTAAAGGTAAAAAATAATATTTAATTAAATAATGAATATGTCGTAAAAAATAATTACGTCCTGGGAAAGAAAGTGTGGAAAATGGCACCTCGTCTGCTATTGTTATCCAATTTAATACATTGCGCCTACTTCATTCCTTATTTTTGATTTTCCATTGGCGTTACTAGTATTAGTGTTTTTTTCAAATGTCGCTAAAATTAATTTTATTGATTTAATGTTAATTACCGACCCTAAAGTGCGTTTTGTTTTTAAATAAATTTCAGATGTACCTGTGTACCGCATATTGGGGTCCATAATTGACACAAAAGTGCGTTTTTCCCTCCCAAAGTGCGTTGTTACAAAGGTGCTTTATATATCTATATATGTACATTTATACGACATTGTATATGGACAATATTGTATTTTGGGTGAACACCATATTTCACAACACATAAAAATGATGTCTTATATCAATGCCTTGATTGACAAATTGTGTCTAATCCAGAAATTTCATCCAGAAGCAAGTATTGAACAGAATCAAGTATGACACCCCTGTGGTAATGTTATCCAGTTATTACAATACAATTGTGTTTTCTAGAAACAACTATTTCTTCTTTTATTTCAAAGTGTGTCTTAAAAGAAGTGGGTACTTGATAATTTATTACAGCAACAAAGTCTATGATTGAGTACGTTTTAAGGAAAACGCAACTTCCCGGTTATATTAATTATTCCGTTATGGTATTGCAAATATTTGATTTTCCTGATCATTAGGTAACCCCTTTACGAAAACACCTACTCACATTATTATATTCAGATACATGTTTCCACCAAATCACGTGAATCCGATGTAAGCTGTTTGTTATTTCGTTTTGTTTTCTAATTAAAAGGTTGTAAACAGGGTATTTATTTAACTTATTTTTGTTGATTCAACTCTTTTTTTTAAAGGGACTCAACTGAGGTTTTTTGACATGATGGGACTGAAAATATTTTTTCCAGATAAATGTACCATTTGTTGAAGGTTTAGACAACTAATCTTTGTGCAAAATTTCAGATCATTCGCGCACTTCGTTTTTCCAGAATAATTATTCAAATTGTAAAAAATGACACAAAATGAAAAGCGTTTAAACACTTTTCACTCTAATCGTTTTCACTGTAAATACGATTTTCAATATATTTCAAAGTGTATTTCTTAACTAACTTTGCATATATTTCTGTTTAAAGTGCCCCAGCTAATTTATGTAAGAAATTCAAATATTATGTCTTTAGGCTTTTAAATCTCAATGGAGTCCCTTTAATAAAAAAGAGAAGCGGAATTCTAGTTTACCAAAACAACCATCTTTAGTTTAAAACATTTTCTAACCTGGTTTTAATTTTACTTATTTTTGTTGATTCAAAATTATTCAATTACTTATAAAAAAGAAAGAAGACAAACGGAACACTAGTCTACCACAATAACCAGCTTTAGTTGAAAAAAAATCTTATTTGTATATACGTCAGTAAAATTCTGTATTATCATTTATCGTCACTTATTAACCACAAAGCTTCCTCCATCTCTCCATATTATTATATATTTTAACTACTGACATCGTTTGTGAATTACTGTTACGCTGTAACAACATCAATGACTTTAAAGATTAACCAATCTTGAGTGTCAATAACTATGCCAATTGTTAATAAATATTTGGATTTCAGTTTCTTCCTTGACCTAATAAGGAGACAAAACTGTATAATAAGAGCAGTGTAGGAAATTTTTTTTTGTTTCCTGAAATTTCATTGTTTCTGTTTACATAACACTGCATTGACATTTTTACAGATGTCTTTAGAGTAAAACAGAATCCCGAAAGAAAGCCATAGTCAAGGTCATGTGTCATTATCGAGGTTCAAAAATGTTGTCATGCATATTGTAATATGTGGAATCGTTTCAATCATTATAAGTTAATATTAACATAGTAAAGAAGAAAGAAATTGAAACAGAACGATTGAATGTTTATGCTTGGGGTTGGATATAAAAAGATACGGTTTAAAGGTCCAAATTAATTACGTGGTTACATAATTTATTTATGTAGACACTTAGCTTTAAATCACCCTGCATGCACAGGAAATTTAATGTGATCGACATTTGTATTTTGTATATATGGTATAGTTGCTTTGTCCTTTATATTATCGTTATTAAAGTTTAACGTTTAAATTGGGAAAACAGAATGAAACACATATCTTACGGAAGAATAATTTGTCGGTGATGAATTTGCTTTCAATATCATTTCCAATAAGGTGCTGCTTGGTTGAACTGATAGTTTTCATATGTACATATAGCATTGATAAATTCTGTGAAAAGTATACACAAAACGACCTCTTGGTTTTCACTACTTCTACTAAAATTTCATAAAACCACTTACATTACTCATGGTCAAGATTGAATAAGTACGTTTATAATGTTGTATAAACTATTCTATGAATTGCAGCATTTTGATTCCGGTTGATTTTACTACCAATAAAAGTTTGTGTAATTTCGGTCAAATGAATCAACCTTAGTCTTTAATAATTGCAAGGTTTCATAATAAGTTTAGTCCATTCCTTATATTTTACTATCATAATCTACAGTCATTTTCTTTTTTTTAAATATATTTTTTACTAAGTATTAGCTGTGTCAAATATCATTATAAATGTAATTTTTTAACTATCTTTTAACAGGGACGTAACTAATCTTTATCATTTCTCTCTTTTTTTCTTCTCATTCTTCATTTATCTTTCCTTTCTTTAAACACTTTCTTTTCTCTCTTTCATACTTACTATGCACTTCATGATACTATCAGCTTTTCTTAGCACTCATTTTCTTCTGTCAAAATCCTTTATAAAAAGATCTTAAGATACAAATACATCTGTCATAACTCGATAAGATTGATTTGACATTGTTTTATGTATTCAATTACATGAACTATGATTTGAATGTTTGTATATTATGATTGAAAAATAAAAGAGAAAAAAAGGTTTCATAATACTACACATTTAATTGTCTTCGCTGTACGAAATCGAGAGCATATTTGGTATACAAATCTTATATGCAAAATTAGTTACATTAAATTTTTTATTGTCAGTGTTTGAGAGTAGAACAACATGCGTAAAAAAATCTATATAATGTTTACGATCAGCTGCCATATCAACATTATCTGACATCTTCTTATGGAACGCCGTGACTGTCTAATGTGATCCATGCCTTTGCTATCTTGTGAAATGATGTTATTATTTTGTCGTTTAAGCATGTTAACATGTGCAGTTTACATAACATCTTGTCAAAAGACCATACTAACTTACGGAAGCTGTAAGTTTAAACACCATGTTTAATTGTCAAATAATCGTGACGACATGTGCAGACAATATGTGGAGACAATCACGATACTTTGACAAGATAACATGCCGTGTGCACATGTCATCATTAAAATTTGACAAGTTAACATGTCGTTTTCACAAGTCATAATGAAACTTTCACAAGTTAACATACTGTTTGCGCATGCCATCACGAACATTCAACAAGTTAGCATGATGTTTGCACAAATTATCACGGAATTTTGACAAGATAGCATGCAGTTTGAACATGTCATCATGAAATTTTGACAAGTTAACATGTTGTTTTCACGAGACATAATGGTACCTTGACAAGTTAACATACATTTTGCACATGTCACCACGAACATTCAACAAGTTAACGTATTGTTTGCACAAATCATCACGATACTTTGACAAGATAACATGCAGTTTGCACATGTCATCATGAAATTTTGACAAGTTAACATGTCGTTAATTATACTTTGACAAGTTAACATACTGTTTGAACATGTCATCACGAACATTCAACAAGTTAGCATGATGTTTGCACAAATCATCACGAGACTTTGACAAGATAGCATGCAGTTTGCACATGTCATCATGAAATT